AAATTAGTTCCTACTTAGGTGCCTCTTAATATTATTTTTCGCAATAATATATTTTCATTTTAAAAGATACCTTTCTAAATCGATATTTCGCAATTATTTTGTTAAATAATTTAACTAATTACTTCATTAATAGTTATTAGTTAATAGAGGTGATACAGGTGATAAGTATTTGAAATATCATTATTACTATTTTTATATTGAAATAGATGAAAGAAATATTTCTAAAAAATAAATTATATTATAAAGATATTTAATTGCAATTTTTTTTAATTAAAAAAGGTATTTGTATATATTTAACATCCAAAATTTAATTTTAAATCAATTAAACTTATATTTATTTTTTTGAATTGAAAACTTAATTTTAAATCGATTAAACTTATATTGATTGCAAAAATTAAATATTTTCCACTCACTTTTTATGCTTTCAAAATGATTTGCGTTTGTTTCTTAAATTCAAAACTTAATTTTAAATCGATTAAACTTATATTTGTTTTTTTTTGAATTAAAATTTAGAATGCTTTTTAATGTTTAGAAAATATTGTCAAAATTATAAATGCAATAAATAATTTAACGAATTTTTTTAAATTGACAAACTTATATTCATTAGTGCAATTTTAAGTTTTATTTCTTTTTCAACTTTTATTTTATTTTTAAAATAAAATAATTTCGAAAAGAGAAATATTATTAAACAATCATATTCTCTAACTCGCTCTTTTTCACTCTCTGATATTTCAAATACAATAATTAATTTAATTAAAAATAACTAAAAGACAATAAAAACAAAAACGTTACGCTGCATGACAATAAAATTTGAAATAGCTCTTCGAAGGCATAAAATAAATAAACAACAGAATACCCAATTTTCTTTTTGATGATAAAGTAAAATATATTAAATAAAAAAGTAAATAGTAAATAACATAATAAAGTGAAAAGAAGGTGTAAACAAAAAAATTATGCAAACAAAAGGTGTAAACAAAAAAATTGTGTAAACAAAAAGGTGTAAACATATTAGAGTTGTAAACAAAAAATTTGATTGAATTAATATTTTATCAAAAAATAATCATAAATTTTTTTTTAAAAAAAAATTTCATCATTTATTTGAAACAAAAAATAATGAAAATGATATCAATGATATCAGTAAAGAAGTCTGATATAGAAATTTGTGAATTTGCAATTAATTAAAATTATTAACAAAAAGGCAAAATGTTATGAAAACTTTTTTATAAAAGATATTTTGCAAAAGAATTATAAAAAATCTTTGCACATTTCTCTCTCTCTCTCTCTCTTTCTCTTTTACATTCTTAAAAATAAGCCTCTTTCTCTTTCTCTTTCTCTTTTACATTTTTAAAAATAAGTAATTAAATATTGGATAAAAGAGAAATTTGTAATTTTATCATTATTTAATTATTATTTATTAATAGTTATAAAATTTATGAAAACTTAATAAATCTTAATTATTTTTAAAAGTTGCAAAAATTGAAATGTATTAGAAATTTGCATAAATAATTTGCTATTATTTTAATATTTGATGCAAAAGATGAGAGAAGAAAAGGAGTAGTCAATGAAATTAATTTTACTCTTTCAAAATTTATTATAAATTTATAAAAGAAAGATCGAAGGATCGAAGCATATAATTTAGCATATACGATTATAACGAATATAATGGATATAGCATATATGGATATAACGGATATATACTGATATAATTTTTACGGATATAACGGATGTAAAAATATGAGGATATAACGGATATAAATATACGGATATAGCGGATATAACATATGAATATAGCGGAAATAATGGATATAATGGATATAACATATACGATTATGACGAATATAACGGATATAACAGATATGACATATACGGATATAATATACACGGATATAACGGATATATTATGTATGGGACAGAGCAAATATGATGAATATAACATAATTTTCATTGGTGAAATTAATTTATACAGTATTTTATATATATATTTTTTATGTTGAAAATAAATATAAGTGAATATTTTATTGATTATTTTAACATCAATTGAAATTATTTTTGAAATCACACACACACACACACACACACACACACACACACACACACATATATATATACACGCAATATGAAAATATTTCATTGATGAAAGTATCAGATTCAGATTCAATTCAATGATCTATTAAAAATTCATTTCAGATTCAGATTCAATTTAATGAATCTATTACAAATTCATTTCTAATAATTTCATTTAGCATTTTCCGAATGTTATGATCGTCAACAAAAAAATAAAATTTAATTTTTTTTTAAGGAAAAAAGTTGTTCTTTTTAAAATTGCTAATTACGAAAAGTTGTTAATTACGAAAAGTCGTTAATTACAAAAAGTTGTTAATTACAAAAAGTTGTTAATTAGAAAAGAAAGAAAACAAATCGTAGAAAATTCTTTCTTTTTTCGCAAAAGAGTGAAAAAATCTTAATTTATTTATTGTCTCAAGTTTAACTTTTTAAAATGTAAACTTAATAAGATAGTAAATATAACTATTGAAATATACACTTTTATATTTTACTTATCTTTACAATATTTCATTTGGAATAATTTATAATATGTAAAGGATTAAAAGAAAGGAATATGTATATATGACTGAAAGAGAGAAAGTTATATTTTGCTAAATTTAAATTTGTGAATTAGAAAAAGTAACTTATAAAATAGCGTAGGTGAGGGAAATATGCAAAACTAAATGATGGAAAATGCTGGAATAGCGCTAAATAGATCGCAAATATATTTGTCCCTTGTGGTATAAGGCTTTATATATTTAGCCAAGTTAGTGTTTATTGCCGCATATAGCCTAGAATAATTTCCGATTCGAAATAATAGTAATTCATGGAAAGGATGAAAAATAAAGATTAGAAAGGTTAGCTAAAGCAATAGTTTAACTTTGCACATCGATTATATTTCCTGTAATTTAATCTTACTATGATCATGCTAGATGATCATTTATTCCTATAACCTTTAATTTAGCCTTTAATCTTATTAGGATCATCTCTAGAAATCATATTCCTGTAATTTAACCATATTTTCAGTTAAACTAGGAGATCATAAATTATTTATTATCTTAGAAGCAATGAATATAAATAGAAATAGCAATTAATGAAAAGTAATAGAAAGAATTCTTTGAATATTTAATGTGACAAACAACTATAGTAAGTAAGATTAAAATTATATCATCGTTAATTGTAATTATGTCATCGTAAAATTGATTTTATTTGTTTTGCATAATAATAACATTTAAGCTAAAAGTAATTTTTTGATAGCTTTTTCTTTCAGTAAGCAAAACAAAGAATATTTGTTAGATGATAAATGAAAATGCTAAAGTAAAGGGAAAATAAAAGATGAAAATGAGCCAAGAGGAAACAAAATAACTTAAATAGCATTGAACTTAACCAATATTTTGGCTAGTGGACGCGAGCCTATAATGTAGTGTCACTTCTGGTTATGTTGAAAATGAGCCTAATGGCAAGTTTTCCATTTTTCTATCATCTTCTATAAGCGGAAAAGCTCTTTTTGAAATGTATGGAAAATTTTTCCCAATGAAAATCTTCAAGCTTATAATATATGTAATGGTTGTAAAATGAATGTAATTTTGAAAAACAAGAAAAATATTACAAATTTCTCACACAAATTTTTAGTAAAACTCTTCCCACTCATAATTTACGATCAGAAATTTATTTTAATTTAAAAGAAAAAGCGAAATTGTGATACTGCCAGCATTGATGTCTTCCTTTCACACAGATTTGTTTTTCTTTATCAGAACTTTAAAGCGTTATTCACTTGTCAATGATGTGAAAAGTGCAAATGAAAAAGAGTTAGATCTCCTCCCATTTTTTTTCAAATAATTTTCTTCAAAGTTTCCTTCGATTTATTTCTCTTTTTTCAATCTAGCATGCATAATTTAGACAATTACCAGTTAGTATTTTATTTACAGAAAGTTGTATTATTCAAGGCTAAATTCATTTATTGGAATAACTTCAAATATTTTTCATTTCATTACGAAGTTTTATATAAAATACATATACCCGTAGATTATCGCAATTGTTACTAATAACTTGGAGAGTTTCCAATTTAATTCTTCAGCCATCTTGAATTCAACAATAATGAAATTTCTGATCTTAGAAAAATAATCAGTATTCTCAGGATCCATAGAATGTGTGATCTATGCACGCAGTGAAGTTGGATCGTAGTTGCAAAAATCTTTAATGTTTTCTATGATGTAAACCACTAAATAAATTAAATGTGCACTTCATATGATTTAAATTAGTCAGCTCAGCATGTCTAACTGAAATATTTCCGTCACAACACTCGGAAAAAGTAAATTAATGAGCAAATTCAGAAGATTTAATAACGCAAATTCTAGGAACTTTCTAAACAAGTTTCTCATTGCATACTTCTTTTCAACCATTTTTTGAAGGCAGTAACTTGGTGTAAGTAAAATCTGTTCTGCTTAAATGCGTGATTACTGAAGATCTGTTTGATAATGTCAGCAGAGTTCAAGCGGAACTTGACTTATATGCAGAAACTAATATACAAATCAACATATACACCTCAGAAATACTTTACCACTGCGTAAAACAGATTCCTGAACTCTGAAACTGCCAAATAATGAAGTAACCAGAAACTCAAAATAAGCTTGAACTTTTAATTCAATTATAATTACTTCTTTTGTGAAGCGATGTGTTTGAAATGATATAATAAATTTAATTGAAAATATACGAAAAGGAAAACTAAAAAGTATGAGGTTAGTCAAAACTGATGAGCACATGAATAAAATATGCATAAATAATTCTTAATAGAAAATGATCTCCACTATTACACTGATGCAGACTAGATAGAGCTCATTATAATAAGAATCAATTTCTTTCTTTAAGTGCATTAAAATTCATATCACTCAGCAACAAATCGCAAAAGCACTTGAAATTTCAAGAATAGTCAAGTTCAAAGCAAGAAACACCAAAAATTATAATCGTCTCAACCGATTTGGATTATATATTTTGAAAGCAAGATCATCATTGTCTGATCTTTCTTCATCGCTATCTTCCATTTCGTCATCTTCTTCCAATTTTTCACTTTCTGAAAAGCTAGTGTTTCAGAAAATTGAAATAAAATATAATAAATTAATTAAAGTCAACGACCTTCAAAGATGTGCAACACAGACAAGTACACTTGAAATATCCAGAAGTCACTAATTAAGTAATTTCAAATAATTTTATATCTTCTACCACTGAATAATTATTAAAAGACAACAAAAACTTCCATAAAAGTACAGCGGTCCAAAAAATGAAACTGCAAAATAGACACTGATTAACAATTTTATCATACACCTTTGAGTAATCTATGTTAGTTACATGCCCTTTATATTGTTTGCTCTTTTATTCAGTTTTGTTCTGCACATTCGCGCATGCAGTAAATCTTTCGTTTTAAATAACAGATTCTCACATCACTCTTTCCAACACGCAAAAGTTGGCTTTATTAAAAATTTAGGTAACTTCCTTTTATATAGAAGTAAATGATAGCAATTAAACAAATCTTTTGAATATGTAACACTTCAAACAGAGACAATTTGAATAGAACCTGTTGGGTCGGAAAATTCTCCCATCGAGCTATCGCTATTCTTCTTTTCATTGTCTTCATTACTCTTGTCACATTCATCGTCATCATTGTCACTAGATGGTAGCATATCTTCGTCGATAACATCATGTCTTTTCGGACCACCAGCAACAATACCTCTCTTTGTTTCACGAGTTATGCTTTCTGCATATACTTCGAATCTAAAAACCAGCTGCTTGAAACAATAGCTATCTAATGCTACTTCTTTTCAATAGCACAAAACGAGATTTCTCTGTTTCTTGAACTATCTTGTTATCTTGTCAACCTTATTTGAGATCTCATTTTCATACATTTGTCTCCCTCTCGGAGTACATACCTACTGCTTCAGACGGTCAATAAGTCCCATATCGTAAATACAAAATGCAAATGTGTAAATGTATTGACGAATCAATAAAAACGATGAAACAGTGAGTACAAAAAGACTGAAAATTTAAATGAAATGAAACACTGACCTTTTGGGCCATATTTTCTGTTCCCTTAGATATAAAACATTTTCATTATCCAAAATTTGCGTAATTTCTGCTTTCACTTTAACACCTTCTTTTATCGGTATCACAAAAACAAAACTTCCTCGTTTGACATAAATTGTTTCCCTAAATTTCCTTGGCATACTTACCAAATATTTCTCGCCGTTTTCATCATCCACCTAAAATCGTTGCATTTACACATCAGTTCAACCAAGAAAATGAATACTTATATGTAATCAAAACAAATGTTGAAATGAGTACTTCTGAACTATTGCACCCAATGAAAGGTATTCAAGATACAAAACAAACTAAATATTAGCAATATGAATAGAAGCAGTAAAAAAGTATGTCTTAAATCAATTTTGAATAAACATTCAGGTAAAGGTCAATTTTGAGTTAAATCAGACCTAATTCTAAATATACGCCAATTGTGCATTTAAAACAGCAAATTATGTAGTTAGAAATCAAAGAAGTACAGAAAGAAATCGAAATTTCTTCCAAATCCTCGTCAGCGACTAAGCAATTTCTAGTAGAACATACAACCAAGTAACAGTAATATCGCAATATTATCCTGTAATACCTGTAGATTAAACGGTTGCACTTACCTCGTGTAGATTTCTTCCTGGCGATGCCAAAATACGTGCAATGATTTCGTTCTCCTTCGGTACGAATAATTCACTTTCCGCTTGTTTCATCACAAAACGTTTCTTCGTAGTAAGAGACATATGTGATATTTTAGATGATAAGAACAATGTTTGTATGCTTGTACTAGGATCGCAATTGCAATATGATGAATGAGGCAATACAGCGATAGCCAGGATGTCGAAAAGTTCTGCAATTTCAAAATACGAAATTACTGCAATTTAAGAGATGCTGTAGACACAAACTGTATGCAACATGTCGAATAATAAATAAATTTTTTTTAAACCAACAAAAGCTCCAAAATAAAGCTAATAATTAATAAAACCTGATTAAATTTTAATGATATAGGACAGAAACAAGGAATAAATGATGAATCTAATGAGAGCAACATAAAACACGACGACCTATAATCACATATACCACCCATTACAGTGTATGTCTTCAGTCTGAAGCCGAATTTTGATTGAGCCATTAAAGTTCGTCCAATTATTGTTATTAAAAGCTTTGGCGGACTCCTTTACCCTAGGCGGTACTATATTGACTGATTATTCGGTGATGTCAGGTACGTGAGGTCAGGTTAGGTGATTGGAAACAATATCTGTTTATAAACTTAGACTCAGCCTTATCTATGCGCATGTGATATTTATTCTGCACGTTTCGTTCGTTTTCATGCGACATCACATTGCGACATTACCGCAGTTAATTGCATTTCTCACCAACTGCGTTGTTAGATGGACGCTTAATATGAGTCGTTAATAATAAGTGCAACTGATTTTATTTGCTACCGCAATATTACCGCAGTATCGACGTACCTACAGCTCTTTATAATCTTGCTCACCTTTTTCCTTGGATACTTCAGAGGACATCTAATTATATGTAGTCATCACTTACTATCATTAATAGCAATGAAATAATTGCTAAAATTATCATTTGCAAGATGATAACAGTATAAGTATTACGACAGCATCGATGAATGCGGAGCAGTGCCGATACGAACTGATGGTATTATACTTCAGATAATCACAGTGTATGATTATTTCCAAAATTACCCACATGGTAAACTTGTCAGACTGATGAAACAGTTGAAATCAATTTTCGCATTACGTTTCGATGTCATTTCGAAATGCGGATGTTTATCAATGATTTTCGAAAAAAAATTACAGTTATCGATCGGACAGACAATGTAAGAATGGAAAGTGGAAGGTCATCTAAAATTTCTGAAAAAGACACTAGTGCTAAACTATCCTTCCTGTGTGGAAACAAGGACTGAGTTTAAAGACCCTTTATGGGGAGGGTTTGAACATATTTTAACAAGCAAAGAAATTATTTACTTGTCTTTCTTTCTCTCCCTTCCACCATAGACGTTTATGTTGAACAGTAAGAAATTGTGACCATCATACAACTTGTCTTCGCTTCTCATGTTAAAAGGATGATGTGGATTCGACTGATTGATTGTCTCAATGTAGAAATGCTACTTGGGGATAATTTTTCACCTTTCACCGGTGTTAAAATTGAAAAGGTAGCTATTTCTACAGCTTCCAACTTCTAAATATGTAATGGACGTATCAATTATTAATTTGACTGGCAGTAGGCGATCAACTGACGAAGAACGAGTTTCTGTCAATGTTTAAACGATGTCAGGTCGTTTGACTATCATTCTTCACATACAGCGAATTCTTCTTACCACCGTGTTGTTGCTCCTAACTGAAGGAAGATTTATTTCCGCACTGTACCTGTAATTAAGTTTTTTTTTTCACTGCATTTACATGTTTAATTAATTTTGTTTCACCGATTTCATCCTTAGCATTAAAACATTTTCCAACTAAGCTTGAAAGAAGAAATAGCTTGGCCAGATCCAAATTAATATATGACCCGGAATTAAAATAAAGTTTGGCTATAGAAATTCAGTTCCAATTCCGAACATAGCATTTCTATCTTTTTCTCCTTTTTATCTGATTTGGCTATTAAAAAAATTGAAATATGAAAGAAATGTCTAGCCAACTTTATGATTCTGATTCCTTTAAAGAATTTATAGAATCTCATCAATTAAATAAATATGAAACATGTATATTGATTGATCACACATTACGTCAGTGATTTTCGACGGTAGAATTCTCAAATTCGAATTCAGTTTTAAAAACGAGATAATTTGATTAAAAACCAATTAAAGTTTTGAACATGGTATAGTGAAACCGGACTGTTAGAAAAACGACTCTTTTCTTCTCTTCCTTGTAATCGGAATCATTGAGCCATCATTTCTGAACGTGTTTTCTGAACGTGTTTTAGACAAGTCATCATAAAATAGTCGTCAAAAAATATAATCATTACGAATAGCATATTGTAATACTTCGAAGACATATATTGATTAAGATAAAAAAACAGGTGGCAAGAAAGGTTTCAGTGTATATTTTTTTGCCAAACAAAAATGATGAAGATTTATTTCTGACAAGATTATTGATTTATCAAGCTTATCAAGGATATTATCAAAATTCCTAGTAGGTGTATTAAATATAAATAGATGAATAAGATTGGTGATGCGAAGCAAACATTGCCGATCGGTGCAAATAGTTTTAAGAAAACTCCAGAAGTTCTTTTTTTTTGTTGATCTATAATTATATTACTCATTATCATGACAATATACTTGTTCAGTAGCAAAAGAATACCGTGTTTTTTGATGTTTTATTTTTTTGATGTAATTCTGAAATGCTTCACTTATTTATTCTATTGCTATATTAATCGTATCATATCAAGCACGGGAGACTTTATCATACATCTCCTTGACACGCTATTGATTATTATCCTACTTGATAGTTTTTCAAACTTTGTAAAGTTCTGCTGAAAAGTTTTAATTTGATACTTCTTCATTTTTTCTTTATTTAAAATTTGATTTAAACCCATACTCTTAATCTTTTTCCTTATTTCCCTCCATTGTTGACCTAATTTATACTATTCTTTGCTTTTACTTGATTTCCAAATGATCATTCATCATTAGCAAACGATGAAGGATCATTGGAAATCGTCCATTGTTAAAAAGAGAATCGTCGTTAAAGAGGAGATTGAAAAAAAGTTAGGAAGTATTTACCGAGATGTATTACAGTGTAAAATATGACTGATCACTCTTAGACAACATCACTCGAAATCGACGTTTTTTATTCTTGTCATTATTTGAGGTCACAGTTATGGCAAGCGCAGTACGTTCAGTACGTTTCAGTGATGATTTACCGAGAGTATCTCATAAGAATGCAGCGGTAAAAAATGTAATTGAATCTTATGAGGAGACTTCTCAAACACCGATACAACTTCCACGGGTATATGATGATGCTCTTTATAGTCCCTATGATGTTTATACAGCAGCTAGTGTGGGTGATACACCAGTGATTGAGGTGAGCATTTTATTTCTTAGTGGCACTCAATCAAAAAATGTACATTAATCTTGAAGATTGAAAATGTAATGATAACATAAGGGTAAATTGTTAATTGGTGGATACAGTATTATGTAAATAAGTGTGTTCATACGAGTTATTCAAATATTTTAATTTTAATTACATCAAATTATATGACAATACGAATATAGATTTCTTCGAGTAGAAGTTAAAACACTAACTAGTTTGTTTTTCTTCAAAGAGTTACTAGTACCGGAAAATATAGATCAGCGAAAATTATAGCTTTTTTCCAGAATATCGGGTTATCATTTTTAGGCACAATTAGAGACGGGTTTTGATGCAAATCGTTTGAATGGAAGCGGATGGAGTTCATTGATGTATGCCGCTTATCTTGGGCATGAAGCGGTTTGTGCATTATTGCTTAAATCAGGAGCTTTGGTAGATTTATGCAATGCAAGTGGACAAACAGCTCTAATGCTTGCTGCTACATGTGGAAATTTAGCTGTTGTATGTTTTCATTAAATTGTCAAATTTTATATTTGAAAGAGTAATTTTATGGCTATGAAAATTTCCCGGAATTCTCATTCCTCTTATGAAAATGTTTCAGTCATTACAGAATTTGAAATGCAGTAATAATTGGATTTTATGGTTTTTCAAAAATTTGCTCACAACTAAGCCCCAATATTCTATCCTCTCGCTGCTTTAGTTTGCAGATGAGTTTAATAAAAATGCTTTTCTTTCAGGTACGATTATTAATACGCAAAGATGCTGTAATTGATAAGCAGGATAATATAGGAGATACAGCGCTTGCTTATGCAACTGCTTGTTCACAGGCTAGTATTGCAGAAGCTTTGCTTGATAATGGCGCCAATCCTAACATTCCAAATTTGTATGGTATGACACCGACGTTAACTGCATGCTGTATTGGACACGAGCTTACATTGCTTGCATTATTGCAAAATGTATGTTGTATTTTTTTCTTTAAGACTTATTATAGTTTTAATGGTGGATTAAAGTGTGAAAGATAAATACTGAAATTAGATTAACAGGTAATAAGTGAAGTAATTTCTTTAGTTCATAAATTCTAACTCTGCCTATATTCATTCACTATAGCATTCATCACAACATGCTTTTCCTTCTTTTTGAAGAGCGAAATTGAATGATTTATTTTTTATTACAATTTCCGCATATTTGTCACAATGAAATTCATATGAGGGAGCACTGGATGTTATATATAACATTTATAATATTTATTTCTTATTTTTGTTTATGTATTACTTATTTGAAATTTCAATAATATATTACTTATTCCGCTTATATGCAAAATTTAGAAAGGAATTTTCAATAAAGATTTCGTACAATAATTCTTCTAAGTTTACTAATATTTTTTTCCTATGTACTTCTCAAAGATCTCTTTTTTACTCTTTGCTATTCCTATTTTTTAAAATTTTTCTTTTCTCTTCTGATTTTTCCTCGCTGTTGTTGACAGTGATGTTTTAAAGGAAAATGAAGGAATAGTTCTTTTTGTTTTCTTACTGGGCATTTTCCAGTTAGGCTTTTTTATTTCTTCATCAACCAAAATTTCATGATGTTTTATTGAAGTGAACCAAACGCGACGGTATGTCATGTTTCTTCTTATTTTTCTCTCGATCGTCTGAAAACTTTCCATTTTGTCTCGTTTAGACGATCTTTCTTTTTATCACTTTGATAACAATCGTGCAAGCAGGCAATACTGATTTTGAAACAAAACTTCATCAAACAATTTCTAGTAATTAATGAAGAAATAAAATGTGCTGCCAATCTCTTAGAATTATATTTTCTCTTGCTCTTTTTATGCTTTCTAGCTGATGTATTTTATTCTAACAAGAAATTATCACCACTAATACCACAAGTGTTAAGTATGAGACTATCAAAGAAAATGAAAAAATATATTAAATTGGGTCTTCAAACTATTGGTAATTTAGTCGGTGGATGATTGATTATAGATTTCAAAATTGATATCACGTCAAGTCTTTAGGGATTTTGAACCTCTCGCTCATTATGGGGTTAAACGGCGCATTTTCATTCTCCATTGAATCCAATGGTGAAAAATGCAATCATTAGTTTTCTAATATTAGGTTTAAGCATACATCAGTAATATTCAGCGATTAAGTGAACTGTCTTCTAAAAGATGAGTTTATTACATTTAAATTTCTTGGAAATTCTCTTATCTTGGCTGACTTTTTATCAGAATTTCAGGATGGCGACCCAAAATTAAAGAATACGAAAGGTGAAGATGGTGAAGCTTTAGCTTTTGACAATCCAAAAACCATCGCGATTTTGAAGGATCCTCCGCGGGTAGCCTATTTATTTCTACAATTAAATTAATTAAATTTATTCTAATTAAAATAATTAAATTTATTCTATATCATAAATCTCATAAATTTGATGATGCTGCAATCATTCAAGAATTATGATATTAGAATTTTGAATTTTGCACAAATTTACAATTGCTTAATCTGTTACACTAACCAAGTATAAATTTGCGTTTAAACTTTAGTCTAAAATTCTTGGATTCAATCTGATCTATTATTAAAAGACTTAAAGATGGCTAGATATCTAGAACAGTTATATTTTTGAACAGCTGTACGTTAAACTTTATATATATATATATATATATATATATTTCAACTAAATACTTTATATGGGTAAAAGTTTTTTCAGAGTAAGAAGAAGGGAAACAATATGGAAAAGAAAACAATGGAAGTGAATTCATTAACGGAATTACTATCACGGCTTAAATTAGAAAAATATATCGAAATATTTGAAAATGAAAATATCGATTTAAATTTATTCTTGGAGCTTAATGATGCTGATCTTACGGAGATCGGCATCAAAGTATGTTCGTATTCTTAATTTGCAATTGTAAATTAAATACTTCAAATATTACATTTGAAGCCAATTTGCAATTCAGATCTCTTTGTTTTTTTTCCATTAATTTTAATTATATTTAGTTTATATCTCATATTTTCTTTATTGCAAGTGAAAGTTAACAATGAAATTTTAGGCATTCGGTCCACGCAAGAAAATGCTGAATGTTATACAACAATATCGGACAGATGGAACGCTTATTCTTTGTACAAATGATGTGAAACCAGTCTCGTCGCCTTATATCAAAGAAAGAGGACAATCGGAATCACGTTCTCAACAGGTTAGTTACAAGAAAATTAATTAGAAAGAATGCTACGTGATAATTCTCTCTTGTTTTATTTTCCAAAAATACAAGCGCTGTTAGCATTGATCGTTTTCAGCGATTTTCAATTCAATTTAAAATATGTGTTTAAATTTAGTTTCAAATCTCGAATTTCATTCATTTTCGAAGGGGAAAAAAACTTTTTTTGACTCAGCATATGTAATTACTGTAATTATTTATTGTAATTATACTGTAATTATTTTTAAAAGAATGAGGATAAAAGAATAAAATAATATGGGAGAAGAAGACGTGTGGATAATTCATTTAAAGAGAATCTTTTTTTCTTTTGTACAAACTGTGGAAGAAAAAGGAGAATTGTTGACAGGTAACGAATGAATTAATGGAATGTCAACAGCGTTTAGCAGAATGTCAACAGGAATTAAAACAAGCCCGAAATTTGTTGAACGAACATCGTTCAACATTAAATTCTGTCTCGGAAGCTTGTCGACACTCACGGAAAATAGCTTACACTATGCTTCAAGTTAGTTCCATTCAACCATTTACTAAATTGATCAAAAAATTTTAGTGGTAAAGGAAAATCTTGCTTTTTGACTAAATTTTAGCTTTCTATTTGTCTTGTAGCATTATTATATACATTAATGTCTTCACCAAATGTTCTACATATTGTTTAGTTTGTCTCATAAAGTGTCATTATCACTTTCCGCTAACATTTAATTAGTCAATTATAATTGGTGGCATCGAAATTTCTGTTGTTCAGAATGCTATCTACTACTTTGCAAATAACAGCAAGCGAAAAATGACAGCTTATCTCGTATTTAAGTTTTCGACCTGTAATTATACAACATTTTTGACAATTTATACTTAAATTTTCATCGTAAGATCCAATTTTTAAAAAAAGCTTTGTCAGGAAATTCGACAAGCAGATGATATAGGCAGTACTTTGGAAAAAGATATACTTGCAGTAATCAAAAATATCGACAACATTCTGATGAAAATGCTCGAGCTTCCACAGCAGTAATGATAAGTGATGATATTTGCTCAACATGTTTTCTTTTACTGTTCAGTACATATTATTTTAGGACATTTAAAATCTTCTAAATTGTTCTCTTCACATTCAATATAATATATCCGGCGTTAAATAATGAAGAAAAACTGCAGATAATCAATAAAAGGCGGTATTAACTTGCACCTTTTTTAAGTCAATACTCTTTTATATTTTTTCGTAGCTTAATTTTGGCAAGACTTTTCTGGACTCCAACTTTAGAAAATTGTCTATTGCTTTTAAAAAAAGTACAAAAAAATCATCAAACATCTCAAAAAATATCTGATTTGCAAATTTCTATCAAACTCCTAAAAAGCTCCGATACTCCTAGGTGAGTTAGGCTATTTGCGAGAAATTGTTTTTTGTTTCACCTCTTTCCTAGCAATATATTTATTAAAAATTCAATAGGAACATTTTGTTATTTATTCTGAATAGACTGAATTTCGACATGTTTATTTCTATAATTTTATTTGAATAATTTTATGAAGATAAATTTATGCCGTTGTCCCACTTATTCACAACATCGATAATGTTGCTTTTGAAACCTGTTTAATATTTTTAATCGAATGGATCACTGATAAAGTTGCGGTATTCGCTGTTGCGGCATTTCTTACATTTACGATATAATCTTTAGAAGGATAGCAAGTAACAAACAAATAAACATATCAGTTAAGCCGAAGATCTAAATGTACCTTTATGCTTCATGTTTCAAAATACTGATACACTAAGGCTTATTTCGAAGTGCTACTTAGTATTCGGCTTAGTAATTCCAATTATATTTTCGATCGAATGTTCGGTTAATGTCGTCCTTGTTATATATAAAGGAAATAGCTGGAGTAAAAGCAATAGTGTTTCATAATTCTTAAATACCAATATGATAACCTAGCTATCCAAGGCAATGGATATAATATTTCATTTTCCAAGAGATGTATTCTGTTTCCATACTTCCAGACACAATGAGTAAATTGAGAAGCACAGTACAAGCATTTAGATCTTTATATTTTAAGTGGAATGAGAACAGTATAATAGTAAGAAATTGACATATGAGCGAATAATATATAAAACAAGTGGTAAAGTTTTGTTATTATCAAAACAAAAATACAGCGTCGAAGTTGATTTTGATAATATCATTAACATACTGTTGCACTTCAGCCGGTGCAGTAAGTGTAGCATTTCGTAACATGAGCAGTAAAAATCGTTTATTTACTTTCTTGATAACAAGCCACCAATCGGTATCTAATTTAGTTGATGTTTCGCCAAAATCATTGCCTTCTAAGAATTCATCAAATATATCACAAACCGACCTAGAAAGTAAAGTGAAAAATTACCAGCAGATATCAAAACAATTTCAAAAATTTTAAAATATTGAAAACTCATTGAAAGAAAGAGACTTAAGAATATAACGTAGTCTTAATTTTACTATCTGAGAGAAAAAGGATCTGGTCAAGTCTTGCATCACTTTTTCAAATGCCGCTCGACTTACTTGTACACTGAAGATGGAACAGGGGGTAAATTTGAGCTGCGGCTGGAATCAATATTTTCCGCAAGACTTGTCTTAAGACTCATACTTTCCGGATTGAAATACACGAAATGAAACTCGTTTTCCTTCCTTGATATATCGTTCAAAGTACCATATGATTCAGCCACGAGAGATGCTAAGGCAGTTAATTCCGGTCCAAGATATTCATCTAATCGCTGCAGAAATTGGGCATCAATGCTTATTTGACTGAACATACAAACTGTAGCGTTCAAAGCACGATAAACGATCTAAATTGCAAAAAAATTTGAATTTTTTGAAAGAGTTTAAAAATTAAAATTTTTGAGCGAGTCACAGGAAGGCGAATGTACAGGAAACAAGTCTAAGATTTCCCTCCCTTAGTATAACATCAATTAATAACGTAAATATAATGATGAAATAAAACGCATAAGGACAAATATTAGGAAGTATAGAGAATAAAACTGAAGAAAATAATCAATTACGATGCTGACTCATAATCAATTTGACTTTCATGTCTCTTAATGAAGATGGAATATTTATCAAACAGAGTACCTAGAAGAGTAAAAGAAAGTCAAACTGTCGGCGAAAATCATCGTACCATTTCATAAGGTACAAGCCTCCGTTCGTTATTATCATCACATAAATAAACAACCGGTAACTTCGCATCATATTTGTCGTTGATTGAAGGATTTTTGGCCGGCATCGCTAAACCTGTCAGAAATTTCCCTCGATGGACTGAGTCCGTCCTAGAATTATGAATTGTATAAGAATAGCAAAATAAGATCTTACTCTGAAAATCATTTCTGATAGGATCTAGCTTTAATAATCGCAAATATTGAATGATAGTGGTGGTGACTAAACTGTCATAATGAATCTTCTTCAAAAACCTAACTAATCAAGCAAAAACCGAGTCGCGTATCTATCTGATTCTAAAGCAATACTAACTTCAGCGCTTCTTGATTTTCATAATTTTTTTCTGTTGTTTTTGAATGATGAAACTGTGCCGTTGAACAAGCTCTAAATTATCTTGTCAGTAGTAGTGTAATAAAAGATAACTCAGTAATCCTTTCCAACGAAAATCTAATTTTTAAGTCAACTTTCCCTTCTTATGAGATCAGAAAAAGTGATGCTGAAACTGAAAGAGAAGCAGTAAGAAATAGAAGCTAACCTGCTACATTTTTCAGGTTGCAATTCTTCCTTCAATGATCTGCTAAGAAGATGCTGCGTGAAATATCGATAAAGTATAGGTAAATCGGTTTTGGAAACACTGTAGGTTATTAGGCGCTCCTGATAAAAGAATATAGTTTTCGAAATTTGAGGAAAAGTTTCCACTAAATCATCCAAAAGGTTTTCAATCCGTAAATAATTTATGCCGTCTAAAGATAAATAATTAACACCACAAAACACGTCCAGTAAAGGCATCTGAAAAGTTACATATATTTAGATATTAAAAGATAAGTGTATTATTTCAATGAAATTCAGCATCATTAAATGGTATATAAATTTTCAATGGCGCAAGAAGAAAAAATTATTCAAGCTTCAAAAGAAAGCCTTTGAATATGTCCACTAATTCCTTCCCTTTGTCTTTTTATATCCTGAGGAGATCTTAAAGCAACTAACACGAATATAACAATTCAGACTACATACGTACGAATACAATAAGAAAAAAAGTTGTGCAGATCGAATTCTACCTCACTTCATTATCTCTTAAATGACCAGCTAAGCTTAATAATAATTAGTGTTTGAACAGCGTTTTGCTTCAAAATGCAACTCACGCGATGGAGACGAAGTTGTGGAAGATAACGTGAGAAGAAATACTCCAAATGATCCTTCAAATGCGCATAATTACCTCCTGCAAGTCGAGTGAAAGGACCAAAAAATAGACGAAACATTTTGTAAGCCGTTATTAGAACTGCTTTGATAGCTGATCCCCGTATAATGTAATCCTCATTGATGCTAAGTTCTCTGAAATAATGGTTTTATAAAAAGAAAAAAATATCATGATAATTCAAACTCAATTCTTCTTTAACTGAAATAACTTGAAGAACTTTCTTACAGCGATCACAAGCATAAATTGTATATATGTTGTAAAAATTCAGGATCCTCACACTAAAATTTGCCATTTCAATTATTTCAACGCTTATTTTTTATGAACAGTGGAGTCTTAAATTTTTTCTCTCCTTACAAGGAAAAACACTCACTTGTTTATACCGGCTCCCACAATAAACTTTCCAGATTCTACTTGAATATACACATGCAATTGTTTGGAAGTATTCACATAACGATATTGAAATTCTGATTCATCCTTTTTTTCGGTGAAATTTTCAGTAAAATTAACAACCGCTTCCGCGAAACCTGTTATCTGCGTCTGAAAAATAATCATCACTATGTACTTCGAATTTAAAATGTGAATATCTACTTCCAGAAAAAGAATTTATCGCTAATATCAGTAAGAGTAAAATAAAAAAGTTATGAAAGCATTTGAAAAGTTCTTAACAGCAAAAACGATACTCATAATAATAAAAGATGCACCTGCTTTTCCACTGATTCATTTTGAGGACTGTTGAAATAAAAAATTCGTTCACTTTCTCTGCCTTCAGTACGTCCGGAATCAGGATGTGCAACAAAGATAAAATCGAATATGTCGATAAAATGACAAACATTCCCTTTGCTTTTGGCTCTTGTCGGATTGCTGAACAAGAAATTTCCGGAAAACGTTGATGGGTTCATTCACGCTATCCGTAGTTAAATCACTCCATTAACACGAAATTAAAGCATGATGACTGAAACACAGAAATATAATATGGAAAAACCTAAACAAAAGAATTGGAACTTTGCAAATTAAAATTGGTTTGAAAGAGTAGAACTAGAAAATGTAACTTAGATAAGACGATGATAATATCAAACGTTAAATTATCATATGCGATAATATCATAAGTACAAGAAATCCAGGAAAAAAAAGAAACACCAAAAATAACATCAGTCTTATTTCCTGATTTACTAACAGGGGATTATCTATAACGGTTTCCACCGTATCATTACATCGATAAAACGGTTTGATGTCATATTGCGATCAGATATGGCGGAATAAATGTAGATGTAATTGCGGTGTAAAAGTGTACGGGGCGTGCCCTTTTCGTTTGACTGCTTTCCGGAAATTATAAAACGTAAACAAAAAGACAGATGTGTTGTGATCGAATCGATTTAACTGTAGTAGTGAAATGAATAAAGAAATGAAGAAAAGATGAGCTGTTCATTTGATGTCAAGCACAGCGGAAGTCGTTAGCCTTCTCTTATTATGTTACGTAAAACAAACGGTGACATAAATTTCATAGACATATTCCAAATTAGAACCATTCTGTTAGTAATAAGATTTACCAAGTAAGTTAGGTCACGCTTTCTTCATCTATTTACTTGACCTATTAATTGAACTGCGTGATGTGACATGTGAATTTGCTTTTCATTCTAATATATCCATTACCGCTTCTTATCTGATCTTTAAACGAAACTGTCTATGTTCAGCATAGCAATTACCACAAGTGTAAAGTGAATGATTGTGATTAATTTATCACTGATAAGGATGAAAATTCGATACGCTTACAAGTCTTAGCATAATCTTAGTCTAAGATTAAGCTAAGACATAAGCTTGACCTAAGACTTAAGACATAAAATTAATTTTTCTTGTTTATTATACTATTAGAAAAAATTTTTTTAATTGCTAAAAGCTTTCATTATAATATATTATGGTAATTAATTATCATTCGAGAAGTTGTTTTGATAATTTATTTTTCGGGCAATTTAAATGAAATTGTAAATTTTTGTGAAATTATAAATTGTAAATTGTAAATAAATTATTACAAATCATTTAATGATTTTTCACATATTACTCATCTAATTAGGAAGATATACATATATACGTTTAAGTAAATTAATTTTTGATTGATTAGGATGAAATTCATTTTTTTTTCATATTTAAATATTGGGCAGTGATAGCTGTCATTAAGAAATTAATTAGAAATTAATTTAAGTAAATTAATTTTTGATTGATTAGAATGAAAGCTTATGATTTATTGTTTCCTATATATTTCATACTAATTTTTAACTAGAGAAAGACAAGAAATTAATTTACAGGTGTGTGTGTGTGTTTATTTCAGTTCAGAATGAATGAATTGAAAAAGGTGAAAAAAAAAACAATATCAACAACATATTAGAATGTGTTGTAGGTATTGCGTAAGTTAGAACTACTGATAAACCTTAGATAAACTGATAATTTAAAGATAAAAGATATGATATTGATATTTGCTTTTTTCTTTTACAAACAAGTAAATGATTAAATTAATGTTTATGTTGTAAAAAATGATTGATATTAATGATAATTTTAATTGACAGAAATTCATTATTAATTAATATATGATATTTATTAATTAATGCTTGATATTTTCTATGTGTGTGTTTTTTGGAACAGTTTAATTTGCATAAAAATTCATGTAATCCGTTTGAAGTCGTCCTGTTTTTTTTACTAAGAATAGAGTGTGGGTGGTAATAAGTCAAAATTACAATACATATGAGTATATGATATCACAAGACGGACAAATCATAATAAGAATGTATTAAACTAATTATATTTATTTTCAAATTTCATTTCTTACTTGCTTATCATCGCATTTTTTTTACTCCTTATCATGTTGAAAATATTATTGAAAGATGAAAATTATCAACAATGTTCTAAAAACGGATTTTCACATTTACCGATTCAATGTGATCCTCAAGATTTTGCGTTTACTTTTTGACGTTAGATTTTGCGTTCACATTACGTTCTTTTTTATAATTCCGGAATGTTTACATTTTGTTATGTTCTTTTTTATAATTCCGGATATGTTCTTTTTATAATTCGGGATATAGAGTAACGAAATCCTCATCATTTGGCATTACGATAAATTGCGAAATTTCAATGAATGATCGATCATTGAAAGAGAATCAATGATTTTCCCGATATACCTAAATCTGTTTTATAAGTAACAAGCAAAGTAACATTGTGTATAACAAACACGCAAAAGAAAAATTTTAAATGAAAAATCAGAATGAAAATTTAAATACAAGTGCAATTGAAATGAAACTTCCTCCTCTCTTTCTCTCTCTCTTTCTTTCTTTCTCTACTTTTAATGATATTAATTGAATTTAAAAAAACAATAATACTGACATGATCGTTAACAAATTTTAATATTTATTATAGCTGCTAGAATTGCAAAAAAAAATGAAACTTTTAAATGAAGGAAGGAATTTTCATTTCCAAACAATTACATTTCATTAAAAACTTTTTCAATCATTAGCTCTAAGCTTTTGCAATAATAAAAGTCCCTTGTGATAATAATAATAATAATGATAATAATAATAAATGACAATTATAATAAATGATAATAATAATAAATGATAATAATAATAATAATAATATAGCTGTCAGTTTCAATAAAAGCAAAAAATGGTTTACAAAAGGCAGGAATTAATAAAAGCTAAAAATATCGTAGCATAATTTCAAAAATACAAGATATCAATGATATGGCGTCGACGTCGTTTATGTTTACAATTCAATGGTCGACTTAGAAAGAATTGACAGTTACGAAGAATTTCAAGTTTGAAATCAATAGAATTTTCTTGTTTATATAATTTTGCAAATTCATCATATTGTTGACCGAATGGAAATAAATTATGTCGATGAATACGTGGAGTTTTTTCCGTGAAAAATGACGTCGTTAATGATAATTTGTAGATATCGCTTGGCTTTAAATTCATTGTTGTTGCCAATTGATAATATTCGTCCGATAAATTACAACCCAATAACATACTATATCCTGTCTATAAAATTGATGGATAGCATTTGTTTGTATTGAATATATATATATATATATGTAAATAATATATAGTCATATTTAACTTAACTCATTTACTGAATTGTTTCCATTGATGAAATATAATATTTGATTTTATTATTAGCCTATTTCAATATTAATTAATTTATGAATAAATGATAACAATAATAACTTACAGTAAGAATTATCGGATATTGAATTGAAAATAAATAATGAAGATACTTTCGCCAAATGAATTTCTTATCTTCAGTGTATGATAATCGATTAACAGTGTAAGAAAATTCTGCAACAAAAATTGTTTGATAACATATTAATCACAATTTCAGAAATGTTTGACATTTTCATTTCAAAGACATTTCAAAATATTATCAGCTGTTCTTTCTAATTACTTTTTCTTCAAAGTAATTAAAAAACAAAAACATTAAAAATCATTATCGGTTAAAGTTATAAAAGAAAAGCAATCAAATTAACAAATTTGCTGAAAATAAGTTTTCGTTAAATTAACTTATTTCTTACCTATTGGTAATTTCATTGATAGTAAACGATCAATTAATATATGTTGATCGATCTGATTTTCACTTTCACTTAAAATTTCTGCATTGCATAATCGATCAGGATGTAATAATAAGATATTATGCAATAAATTGAAATTATAGCTCATCTAAAATTTAGTGAGTAAAATATTTTTATATACTTCTTACCAAAGTATCACAAATTATCAACTGTTTATGGTACTATCATTCTAATAAATTTTTTTTGAGTAAAAGAAGAGAATTAAAATTTCATTTTCACTTTACCGTTGTTGATAGAATTAGTACAAGATTGTATAAGAATGTAAGGATATTACGTATTGCCAATTAAACGTAAAAAAAACGTCAAAAACGGTAATCTGTCCAGGTATTGTCAATTAAACGTAAAAACATCAAAAACGGTAGTCTGTCCAGGTACTGTCAATTAAACGTAAAAACGTCAAAAACGGTTATCTGTCCTTATGCTTTTTCTGAAAAAGTATTGGATCGAATCGATCGATTTCCATTCATATTCAATCGATAATATATATTTTTAAAATCTTTAAAAACTTGAAAAATTTATGCTTTCAAAAATCTTCACTAATATTTTATTTTATAGTATAATTTGCTGCTCAAAAAAACGTTAGTACTGCTACTATTGTGTTGTATTTGTTTTTCCTCTTCAAATTTAAATTCAAAACATTTAAATTGAAAAGAAAGAAATGGATATTGATATTGGAAATTCATTTCGTTTATCCATTTCATAATTCTACCAAATAATGAAATAAAATAAATTCATATCTAATACAATGAAAATTCTAATGGTTAATTTAAAAAATTAAAATCTGAAAGATTTAAAATTCTAAGATTAAATAATATAAATTAATATAAAATAATATAAATTAAAATAATATAAATAATATAAATTAAATAATATAAATAACTAACCTTAGCTAAATTAAAAACAATAGTTAAATCAGATTCTCGTCGAATAAATTCAATTATTTTTTGTAATTGATACATAACATTTTCATTTGAATTAACAAAAACTATTTCCACACCATTTATTATATCACTATCAGGTAAATTTTGATTTCGATGAGTTTTTCCTACAATGTAAATTTTTTAAGAGCAAAAGAGGGAGAGAGAGGAAAAGAAAGAGAGAAAAAACTAAAATGTAAGCAAAATTTTTCTTTAAATTTAATTTAGTATTTTTGTATGAAATTTATGATTTAAAGAATTTTGATTTTAAAATAGTTATTTATGATAATGTTATCAGTAGTGAAAAGAAAAAGGTAAACAAAAAAAAGTGAATTGATTTATTGTTTGTCTTAATTATTTAGTTTTTTTGATAAAACTTTTAGTGATAATGATAATTACACATTGTTAAAGTACAACCATTCATTATCACTTAGATATCATTTAAATATAATATAATATCATTTAAATATAATCGATCGTTTTATTTATACTTCAAATATTTTTTCATATTATATGATAAAATTTTAAGTTACTTGAAATTTCATAAAAGGAATAATTAGTTGAATTTAGAATGATTATTTCAATCATTTATACATTTCAAATATGAAATGTCTTTTGTGGAATTCTTTTAAAAGCATTTCCAAAATTTGTTAATTCAATCATTTAAATTTATTAAGTAATTATTAATTTTACAATAATACTATTAATAATAAATAATATTTGAGAAAAATTCTTTCAGAAACACAAATGGTATTTATAATAATTAATTTTATAATAAATTTTTATAATATATATTTAATATATTTCATCTTTTCATATTTTCTTTTTAACATTTGAGGAATTAAAAGAATTTCAAATACTTTTCTTTATTTTTTAGTATTTGATAAATTTCAAATTCCAGAAGATTTTAAATACTAAAAGATAAATTTCTATTACTAAAAAATAAAGAAATTCAAATACCAATAATTTTGGAAATTGTAAAAATTAGAAAATGAATTATAAAGTATGAAGTGAAGAAAAAAGAAAAGATTTTTAGAAAACATTAATTAGTAATAATAATAATAATAATAATTAAATTAAAAAATAATTTCAACAATTTCTTACCAAATATCAAAAGCAAATCAATAACATCTCGAACTTTTTCAATCGATTCTTCAAGTTCAGCAATTAATAATATTTTAATAATCATATCACCATGTTCAGCTTTTGAAAATGAAATTGCTTGAATCATTTTTCTTAGAAGTATTTCTGGTGATAACTCATCGATCATATATGGTTTCACATGTAGTTCCAAATAAAGAACATTATCAGCGTTATAATAATTGATAATATCTAGTGTTATCTAAACTATATCATTTTTATTATTTGTTTTTCTTTTTAAATTAAAAATCATAAATATTTTAATTACAAATATTTTTTTCCTTTTATAAAATAATTCTAATTAATTTACTAAAAGGAATAATTGATTACTTTAATGAATAATTGATTGATTGAAATTGATAATAATAAAATAAGCTATTTACCATAAATATGTGTTCTTGTAGTACAACCAAATCGTATATAATTGACATTGATTGTAATGCTCTGTATAAGAAGAAAATTAATTTATAATTAAATAATATGGAAATTTAAAATTAAAATTAAAATTGTAAATTAACAAAAATAGGTAATCTTTGAAATGATTTTATTCAAATCATTATCGATTAGACGATGATTGAATGATCATTCTTTCGTAAGAATGGTTGCATTGATGGTTGCTTTGATCTTCCTCTTTTGAAAAGAATTTTTTGAATTTTAGTAAACTGGCAAAAAATATTCTCACTTCTTCAATGTTCACCACTACTGTAGTCATTAATCGCCTAATTAATTTCAAACCTATTTTTCCTAATCTCTTTTCACAGATGCATGTCTGCGACTATTTTATTAGTCATTTCTTCTTCCATATTCAAATCAAATTTTAGATATGGTCATCATTGGTCACTCAAATGTCATATTATCATATATTGTGGTCAAATTTTCAAATTTGATTTTTTATTTTAATTAAATGCAAATCACTTACTCTTTCATATCTCTTGGATGACCGTATGCCCAAAGCAATTTTCGTTGCTCATTTGTTAATTCAGCTTTACCTGCAAGTCGCCGATATTCTAACAACGTTCGTAGAGCTGACTTTCCAACGCAAGCTTCCCAACGTACATTGAATTCCTACAATTGTTTACGATTGAAGAACGTATGGTTAAATTAAAATTTTGATAATTAAATAATTTTTTCCCTGATAATTAATTAATAAGTCAAATAATTAATAAAAGAAATAATTCTAATATTACTTTTTTGTTGTTGCTATTGTTATTGGAATTTAGTGCAATTGTGCAAATAGTTCATTATCAGAAAAGATAAGATAAGGGAATTTTTATCAATGAATAAGGAAGCAGGAGAAATTATTTGTTGATCAGTTATTTACGAAATTCTAATATTTATTTAAATTTGATTAAAAATTATTTTTGCTAAAATTTGATGAAATGATAATTTACATTTTATGAATTTTGAAATATTTTCTTTGCGCCTGAAATTTCTTGGCAATAAATTTTTGGAATTTTTTCTTCCTTTTTTGTAAAATAAGCCAAATAGGCCAAGAAAAAAATTACTTACACATTTAGGTATTTTAGTGCAAAATAATTTCAAATCGAGCATTTCCGTTTTCTTCCAATTCTTTCAACAATTCTAAAATAGCTATTTCATTGTTTCATTGTTTAATTATTCTAATTAAAAAATATAAATATAAAGTTTGGCAAAAAGAAAGAAAGTAAAGGAGAATGGTAAAAGGTTGAATTGTATTAGGAGAAAATTTTTTAATTAGTTTAAAGATAGAATAAAATTTTGAAATCATATAATTACTGAAAGTTTTCAATTCTCCAAGCAAAAAATCCTTTCTGATAAATTATTGATAAGGCATACCTTCAAGCAAAATTTTTAATTCTCCAAAAACAAAAAACCCTTTCTGATAAGCTATTGATAAAACAGAATAAATGAATGATATATGGATCATCTCTAAAACTATTCACCTTTGAACCGCCAGAGAATTTTCATATAATTCGATCTACTTATAATAAATACCATTATCAGTGATATCTAAAAGAAAAATCATTTAGTTATTGCTTTCATAGTTTTAAAATGATTTTCAATATTATTAATTCAATCGAAGTATTTTATAAAGTTTGGACGAAACTGTTGAAATTATGCAACATTTCCAATTTATCGTATTTTGATGGAAAAGATTAGAAAGGATTATGAATTAATGTTAAGTCGTTTGAACTAAATTTCAAATGCTTCATTTTATCAAAATATAATTAACAATGTACTAATTATTGTCTAAATTTTAGAACTATTAATTTTAGAAATCCCGCGAGTAATTAAGATGATCAAACTATGCTAACTATATAGAGAAATTCACTGATGATACTTAAGAACTATAATTTTAGAAATCCCGCGAATGACTAAGATGATCAAACTCTGTTAACTCTATAGAGGAGTTCACTAATGATACTTCAGGTGGTATTTGTGCTTGTGCAATTGATAAACTCTCTATAATATCTCTAATCTTACAGTAAATTTTGAAACATCATTGCAACTTAACTTTTCTTCTATAAAGGTTAATATGAGATTAACCCATCTAATTTCATCTAACTTCTAGATTCATCTAACTTCTAGCTCCAATTTCATCGTGACAGTTTCCGCTAACAAAAAATATCATCACATAAAGACGATACTTTTCTATTCTCTACAACCTTTCATTCGAATTTCTTAAAATTTACTCTCAAATAATTTATGTTTAAAATCATAGTGACCAGACGAAATGTGTGTTAAGTTGGTAAGTTATAATGATATCAGAATTGGGTATAGTTATACCATAAATGGAATTGAAATGAAAAATAAGCTTATTTATATGGTTTGTTTACTTGAAGTAAATGGCTTATTTCATCAAATTTTTTCTGCTAAAATAAATGATAGACCAATGGTCACTACTATCCTAAAAATGAATAATAGGAGAAAAAATTTCTACTGATAAATTATCATTAACTATTCAATGTATAATTAATTAGTTATTATTGCATACAACATAACATATCAAGCAATGTTCAATATTTTTAATTTGTCTTCATAGGAACGTTTTTATTCATAGGAATGTCAAAGGTGAGATTTGTACCATACTATCTTTCTCCGTGCTATATTATAATTTCAAAAGTTTAAAGGTCATTTAATATCTTCTCATCTTTAAAATTTCGTGCTATCCAGCATGTCTACAAGAAATAATGAAAGATGAAATTCATTTGTTTATTCTAGCAATTACTCTACGAACAGGAAAACTAAAGCTGCCATTTATTAATACTTCTCATTCATACAATAATTCACTTTTTTTAAATTTCTATTTTAATTTGCTATTGTTCAATTTAAGTATTTCATATTGTTTTGTTCGTTTAAAATTAATTAATCACCAAAACAATTAATATTTCACATTCGCTTTTAATAGACCTAATTTTTGAGCGTAATTTTTAATGGCTGTAAATTAACTTTGCAAATTAATTTAAAATGAACAATTCAACTAAATTGTGATTGAACTAAAATATGATTTTAAAAAAATTAAATTCAGATTTTAAAACAAAATTGAACAGCAAAAAAAAACCTAAAAGCACTCTATGAAATTCTTTTCTTCCCAACAATTACAAACCTTTTTTAGCTTTTCTTTTCTTTTACAAAAATTAATTAGCACTTTCTAATACATTGAATTTTTTTAAGCGAACATTTTCAATTTATCATTAAAATAAAAAAAATTTTTTAGCTTAATTTAATTAATCTAAAATTGTTGACAGCAAATTTTATTAATTAAAATTAATTAGTGAAAATTTATTATTAATCTCTTAGAGTATTCGAAAATTTCAAAACTATCAACTTTTATCATTTTAATTTATTCTCTTTTTTTTAATATAATATATGATTTCTTTTCTTCTGTACCTCCTTCATATGAAAAGAGATCATTTAAATAGCTCATATCTTTTTCTCCTCTCTCTCTCTCTCTTCTGCTGTGAATATCATTGATGACCTATGATCATGTCTTTTTTCCTCTCTTTCTCTCTCTCTCTCTCTCTTCCGCTGTCAATATTATTGATGACCTATGGTCATATCTTTTTTTTCTCTTTCTCTCTCTCCTCCGTTGTCATTATCATCAATGACCTATGGTCAAGTTATTCAGGTTTATTATCTTTCCTTTTCTTCTCTTCCTTCTTTCTTTTTTCAATTCATTCTTCCTTTTCATACCTTTCATACTCTTCATTTAAATCATACTTATCATTCCTATCTCAGCATTATTGATACTTTCCTAATTTATGCTGCGACAAATCCGCTTACTATACAATCTATTTCATGTGATGTCATTTCCATTCATTTCTTCTTCCTTTCATCTCTCCGTTCTTTCTCATTCAACCTTAATCATTCCATTTAAAAATTTTACAAATTTCTTTATCTCTGATACTGTCTATTTGTATCTGCTTCTCTGTACATATGTGTCTGTGTATGTCTGCCTTCTACATATATATATATGTGTAGAGAGAGACTCTCGAATAAAAAAAGAGAAAAAAATCAGAGAAGCATTGTATTGCTATTTGCCCTATTATGCTAATACATACACACATACACATACATACACATACATACATACAAACACACATACACACATACAAACAGACAGACAGTTCCCTCGTATTATTTAAAGAGAGGCGCGTAGTGCACGACATCCGTCTCACGCGCACAACTCATTTCATTGCTTTCAAATATTTGTTGAAAGTTCCATTCATACCAACGGATATCTTTTCTAACTTAAGGATATATCGATATGAAATATTCATCATATATTGCTTCACTCTCTCTCTCTCTCTTTCTCTTTATTGGATTCTCTCTCTTCCTCTCTTCTGTTGAATTCTCTCTCTCTCTCTCTCCCTCTCTTTGTTGCATATATACACTTCATCATACTTTATCTTACAAATTTTCAACAATCCATAATTAAAAAATTAAGCGACGATGAAAAAGTTTTTCAATGTAACGAAATTAATCAATAATCCTAATACATACAGACGTTTATCTCTCTCGCACTAATTCGCAAATCTTTCATTTCATGTACAATTATTTCTTTACTATCAATCAATACTTTTGCTACTAATGGTAATAGTAATAGTATATATAATATATCCCGAGAATTCTCTTTTATTAATTACTAACAAAATCGATAGTTTATGTTTTTTTTGTTTTGTTTTCTCGATAAATAATATGTGGATTTCATTTATCATATGGATAGAATTATGAGAAGCTTTATTTGAAATTCTTATCATTTACGTCATTATCAATTCTTTACTATCATTATTCAATTTGATAAGAGAAACTGATATGCGAAATTGTTCCTTGATAAATGCATAAAATCATTTATAATTTTCACTGATAATTAAATATAAATATATTGCTCATTTGGGAGATTTTCAAATTTTACTGACAGATATCATAATTTATGAGCATTTTAATAATCTCACTTCCAGAAATTTCGAACAATTATTTAACAAAATATTACAACTTGTAATAATATGATGGCAATAATAATGGAACATCTGGCAATAATTATGGAAATACAATGTGATAATTACTGTATAAATGATATGATCTATTATTGATTATTTCAAAATGTAAAGAATTTGAAATTTTCTCTTCAAACTTAAACTAATTGTGCCAGAAAGAGAGAGAGAGAGAGGGAAAGATTGTATCATAATGATCAGATTTTTAAATGATCGTATCTTTTTTCATGAGCGTTATCGTCTCACTAAATTTTAAAAACTATAATTTAAGAGTTCGAATAGTAAGATAGCGGTTGACTTCAAATTCGAATATTCTAAAAATGGCTCTACAAAAGGTTCTATAATCAAATTAATACAAAAAGCTCTAGCTAGCTAATTAGAGTAACTATTTTGGCCTATAATAATCTCATTCTTTTCTCTCTCTCTCTCTCTCTCTCTATTCCAAAAATATTTCATAGCTCTCTCTTTCTCTCTCTCTCTTTCTGTTTCAAAAATATTTCACAGCTTTTAAAGTTTCGAAATGAAATTAATAGATCTATGCCATTATCACGGTTTATTTATTCTTTCTTATCACAAACAAATTAATCATTCGATTTTATCAGAGAAAAAAAATTAAATCCCTCACATACATTTATGTATAAAATATTCTGTGCACATTTCCATTCCAATATTTGTTCACCGTTTTTTTGATTTCATTTCAATTTAAAAAAAAAGAAGGATGAAAAAATTCAAGGTTACTGAATTTCGTGTTTTACAGAAATTCGCTGTCACTTTCGATATTTCCAATTTTTTGTTTTATTAATTTGTTAATTACAAATTATTGCAAATGGTTGTTGCACTTTTAATTACATTTCAAAGTTTTGTTAGAGTTTAGAAAATCCCAAAAATTTAAAATTATTTTCATATATTATAATATTTATTTCTTTCTTCTTTGTTTATACTAAAATTCTTTTGTTTTTAAAAAATTTAAAATTACTGATATGTTTTCTTTTTTTTGATTATAATAAGATGGCAAAGTGCGGTAGATGGAAATAGCTAATATCAGGCTGTTACAACATATATCAATCGTTGTTAGGT